CTACTTCCTCCCTTTCTTCAACCTCCACCACTCCCTCTTCAATCGACATTGTTCACTTGAGAAGCTCAACTAGCAAGGAAGAAATCACACTCTTGAAAGGATTCAAGGAGAACACACTTTGGCTTCAACAAAATGGGTAGGACTTGAGTTCTCAAAATTTTCAAGAGGTAGGTGCTCAACCTTAAAAATAAGTGAAATGAGTAAAATGAAGAAGAAGACTATATTTATAGTCTAGGGTTTTTCAAAAAGAGAAAAAAAGCCCAAATAGAATATTATGGGCCCTCCTCAAAATAAAGTGGGCAAATAGAAAGTTATGGGCCCTCTTCAAAATCAAGTGGCCAAAAAGAAAGTTATGAGTCATTTTCGAAACAAAAAGGCCAAACAGAATACTATGGGCCTTCTTTAAAATAAAGTGGAAAAAACTTGAAAAAAAAAATAATAATAATAAAAAAAAATATATATATATATATATAATAAAATAAAATCAATGCCTCCTTCTCCAAATCTCCTTGGACATGGGGCATTGGGGGGCAAATGATGGGTTAAGCCCAAATAGTCCAATTTATGTGTTAAAGTCCAACCCCGGTTGAGGAGCCCAACCTCATTGTGATTCCACCAAGCCCAAGACAGTCCAAGATTGGTTTGACTTCTTGCTTAGCACGTCATCAAGAGGAGAACACGGGAAGCTTATCTGCACCACCAAAGGAAACGGTCCAAATCCACCAAGTTCAAGACAGTCCAAGACCGGTTAGACTTTTTGCTTAGCACGTCACCAAGAGGAGAGCACGAGAAGCTTATCTGTACCACCAAAAGAAACGGTCCAAATCCACCAAGTCCAAGACCGGTTAGACTTCTTGCTTAGCACGTCACCAAGAGGAGAGCACGAGAAGCTTATCTGTACCACCGAAGGAAACGGTACAATCTTTGACCACGTTTCATGAAGAGCTCCCCAACCTCTTCCTTCACTTGAGGATAAGTCGTGATCTCCACCAGAGTAATCTCTTAGCTGCGATAAAGAAGCCTTGAGGATAAGTCGTGATCTCCACCAAGAATAATCTCTTAGCTGCTATAAAATAGCTCCGATCTGGGAGAAGAGGGGAGAGGAATATCACATCCCACCAGAGACATACAGAGGACGAACCGACTACCGGAGATTACTATTTTTCTTTGATTCTCCATTCTCCCTCTCAAAGCTTGTATCTCCATTCTCCATACCTTTGAATCAATAAAATACCCGGCAACTGAAGCGCCATTGAAGAGTGGACGTAGGTCGAATTGACCGAACTACTATAAATTGTGTCTTTTTTAATTCTTTCATTGATTTCATTGTATTTATTATCTACACTTGACGGATGGTGTGCAAAACCATTTTTATGCATCATCACAAAGGATTGACAAAGATTGAAAAGTTGGGGACACAAATACAATAAAGTTTTTTTTTTGTATATACGTGCACAGACCACTATTACAAGGATCAGTCTATGGCACTTGCGAAAAAATAGGGGTACTATATCGAAAATAATTTTGGGTCGTGGATTTTAATTTGTAGCATTTGATTACAAAATAATAAAATTATATAAAATAGTCAAATAAAAAAAATGTTACATGTGTCACGATTTTATTGAATGAAAAATAAAAGTACGATGTTGAAAAATTAATTTTTAATACCCTAACTAGATACCTAATACAATGGATATATAGTAAATTATTATAATTTTTAAATAATTCACTTATGATATAGAACAACCGCCCACCCACAGAGTTCCCAAAAAAAAAAACAAGATAGAAATATCATCAGTAAGTGCTGGATACTGGATAGGATAACCACTTGTGAACCTAATAGGACTCCGCTGTCTTATGGGACTTCCTACTTGGGACAGGACTAGGTTTGCGCCATACTTGGATATTTCTCTCACTCTCTGATTAGTTACTTGTACATCAAGCAATTAAACTTCCAAACTGTCTTCGGATTAGATTTGGTTAATCTCTTTTTCTATATTCGAGTGTTTGTTACCCCTCTCTCTATCAATCTCTGGGCACTTATATATACCAAGGGTTAGTTCATATACCACTCGTCATCGGTTTAACATTGCTGTTTCATCAACATCAGGTCTGTTCTTAATCATCTTTTTTTGGTCTGTTCTTAATCTTTCATGGTATCTCATGCTTTTGGCGCCTATGTTTTTTTCAGGATGAATCCGATTAACTGTGATGATATTCTGCATGAGATATTTCTTCGACTGCCTATAAAATCTGTCGTCAGATTCAAGTGCGTGGCAACGAAGTGGAACGAATTGATCTCAACACCGTATTTTCGTTCTTGTTATTTGTCTAGCGTAAAATATTCTCCTTTAGGGTTTTTCGAAAGCCTCAAAGTGATAAGAGGAGACAAGATTTACTATAAAGATATGCCACCACTGTCATTCTTGCCAATTTGTGAAGAAGGAGAGGATATAAATTCTCTTAGTTTTCTTAAGGATGTTGGATACTTGGTCGGTGGTGTTTCGAATGGTTTCATTCTTTGCGGTTGGAATCCTGGAAGATACGTCGTCTGTAATCCTTTGACAAATCAGTTGTTCTGTCTTCCTAAAGTGAGGACTCGACGATACCCAATGCCAACTCTCGGATTCTCTTGTGAAGAAGCAGATGACAATGGGTTGGTGCGATTCAAAGTTATTCAGGCCACAACCACATCCCATGATGTACTAACAGAAACCACAATGTTCATTGATATTTTTAGATCAGAAACTAGCAATTGGAAACAGTTGGTATTCCCAATTGCAACCAACTTTATAATGAAGCCTGGCCAAATTTGCATTGTCATCAAAGGGGTCTTCTTGTGGCTTGATATTGATCATAACGAATATGATATTGCCGCCTACAACCCTAACCTGTCAGAAAACCAACTATGGTTGCTCCAACGTCCCGGCGACCCTCTCAAGGTGATGACAACAACTTTTGGAGAGTCGTCGGATGGTTTGCTAGTATACGCAACGGGAGACACTTATGGATTTGAAATCTGGGTTCTCAGAAAGAAGTTGTCTGGTTACAATTTTTCAAGCAAAATAGGAAGAGATGAGTGGGTGCCAAGGCATACTGTGAATTACCAAAGTATTTCAATTGAGTATCCAATGATGGTTCGTTTCTCCGAAATCAGTCATGATAGGTGCTACTTCAATAAATTTCCTCATATGGTAGCTTTCCATCCTCAAGATTCGACAATTCTCTATCTCAAGTTCAAACATAAGATCCTATGGTATAATGTGGATACTGGAAAATTGGAGTTAGTTTACTGCCATGGCAATAATGATCCAAATCGTAATGACATGGGCTTGTTTCCTTATTTCAGAGCTGTTTGGCCCATGTCTCTTCCACCTTCAACTTCTTGATTTAGACCATTTATACAGTAGAAACTAATGTCTATAGATATTTGAACTTATCGGATGTCAAGTTCCCCAAACATTGTCCCTAATTATTGTTGTGAATTACGAGTTATTAAATGTTGATTGGATGATATGGTTTAAATAGTCTTCAGTTAAATTCTGGTTTTTTCCTGTTGTTACATTTGTGTAATTTAAGTCTAGAATTTCAAGTATATTCGTCTTCTTGCTCTTTTGTCTGTTGTTTTTTTGGTGGGTTTCAACTAAAGCCTGTAGGGGGGAATGTTTGCCCATTGGCCATTTGAGCTGCCTCAATTTTGAACTTTTTTTTTTTATTTTGTAAAACTGAAAAAAAAGGGGAAAATAGCTTGAATTCTTATCCAATGGAATTTCAACTCACTATATCCGTATCGAAAATAATAATGTTATTTAGAACTAAAAATTTGACATAATTTACTGATCTAATAATATAGTTTCATTGAAACTATTAGATCAACACCAAATTCTAATGTTTGATGGGAATCCCAATCAATTTAAAATCTGTCATAAATTAAATCAACAAATTAGGTCTCAATACAATTGCTCTATTGGAAAATTGGAAGTAGTTCAATAACATACAAATGCCTTCTTGAATAGTAAATGTCATTTATTCGCTCACTCACGAACATACCTACCTCAGAATTGTTATTCATCTACAATTTCTGTGAAGACATTAATGGTGTGTTTGGTTGGATGGATTAAAAAATTAGAAGGATGAAAAATATAAATGATACATTTTTATATTATTCAAAGGAGAAATCTTTCATTCCCAAACAATGTTTAAAAAATTTGACATAATGATATGACTATTATATTTGTTATTGATTTAGTTGTGCGTCTTAGGATTTATTGAGACTCACACTATGTGTTCAAGGATAGTTATTTATCAAGTCAAGTTTTTAAATCTATTTAACGTTTTCCTTAATTTCATCTTTTGTATTTGGTAGGAGAAATGAAAAGATAGAAAAAATTGATTTTTGTATTTGGAAAGAGGAAAAAGTGGAAAAATAAATGTATATATAATATATAATAAATAAATATGATATATTCATATATTAAAGGATATATTTTTTTATCCTAATTTTACAAGGATTGATTTTGGTGACTTGAAAAAAAAATTAATTCATCTACTTTTCATCCTTATCAGAAATGACCCTTTAACTTTCTATCCCATTAATAAGTGGGAGACCCACTTATACATAATAAATCCCATTTGAATGCATTGTAAATGATTGTGCCAAAAAATGAATTATAGAGAATGTGTATTACAGAGAATCTCGCCGCCCTAATTGAACCAAGTTTGCTTGAGCAATCCTCCTTGGCAAGGTTCAATCATTGGCCGCAACATTTATTTGTTTGTTACACATTAGCATGTATCTTGTTAATTTTAATCATCAAAAATCAAAATGATATAAGATTTAATAAGATAATTCAATATATATTAAATGTATTGTTCAAGGCTAGGCCGACGATCTTCAATGCTGAATTTGGTCCAATTCATAGGGTATGCGAGAGTGTTTTTTGCCCATGGTCCACCCCAGAGACCCATATTCTGGCCCGCTCCCCAGCTCTTTGACACGTGTACTTCTTCATATGGCTTAAGAAAAAGTGCACAGGGTATTCCCATTCCCGCCCCCATTAAATCCCCTAATATTAATATTAAACTACCAAACTCGCCTTATTCTATAACCTCGCCGTTAATAACTGAAATCATCCCATTGTATAATTAAGTTCATCTAATCTTTATTACCATTATGAACACCGTCAACCCACCAGAATTACCACTGCTGCCACTACCAAAATAATAATCAAAGAGTGCTGTTCGTTTTGAACCAACCGATTTTTGTTGTTGGAAAACATGCAATATCAATCCAATCTAAGATCCATATTAAATCATTGAGTTAGTGGTTGTAATCCTTATTTTTTATTGTTTGGTTTAATACGTTAATTTTCTATTAGATCCACATCAAATAAAATAATAATAAAAAAAAACAAGATTAGAATGAAGTGGCGGCAATGAAAATGGTAGCGGTGTAGTGGTGGCGATTGTGGAGGTGATGGTAGCGGTAAGACAGTGATTGTGACAACTGTACCAATGGTGATAGTGGATGTGTTGCCTGGGGTGGTGTTGTGGTATTGACAATGTTGTGTTTGTTATAGAATATGTGTATATAATTAAATTATATAAAGTCTAGCTTATGCATTAATCTAAATAATATATATAGAAATTAAAATTAGTGTACTTACATTGACACAGAACAATGCGAGTAGTATGTTGGGATTTAACATTGATTTAAATCCACTAACAAACACACACAATCGAAGAACAAATCAAGAATATAAAGCAATAAGAAACAAGAAAGAACGAGACACAGATTTTACGTGGTTCGGCAATTTGCCTACTTCCACGAAACTGCATGGATTTTACTATTGAGAGAGTTGAATACAGAGAGCGGTTGTACCATCCATAATTAACCCTAATCACCAAAACAACAGGGTTTATATGTCCTACGCACTGGGCTGTATAACGGGCCCAAAAAAATTTTCCTCGGGGGCGTTGCCCCCGAACCCCCACGAGGCTTGTCCATGAGCGCTACGGCTTGGACCTTCGCTCCATGGACTAAGCCTCAGAAAATTTTCCATTAAAAACCACACAACATTACTTCGGGTCGGGTCATCATCCGGATCACATATACAAACTACACTCCATAAAAAAAACCAACATAGTAAAATCAAGAAAATCAGAAATACAATAATAAAAATAATAATGTGAGCATTGTGTAATTACAATTTCCTTAAAACAGATTTGTTCTCTCTTACTGCTTAAGGTTGATAAACAGTTGTCTCTCAAGATAAAACGAATTTCGTTCTTAAAGATGTAGCACTTTAATCTCCAAGAGTCCAACGAACACAATTTTGTGTTTATACTTGAACCAAACTTGAAATAATAATGTAGCAGTATGCAGAGAGAGAAGAAGGACTAAATACTTAATTAAATATTTTGGATAATACTTAGTTCTTGAATTGTTCTATGTTTTGGGAGTGAAAAAAATCACATATTTATAGACTCACTAGTGACTTTTTATAAAAGGTATAACCATATGTAATAGTATTTTTTAGTCCAAAGGGTATCATAAAAATGTACAATCATTTGAAATGATGTCTTTTAGTCCAAGAGAAATCAATGATAACTTTATAAAAAATTGTGACTATATGTAATGGTACCTTTTAGTTTAAAGGGTATCAATAGTGATTTTATGAAAAAATACAATTATATGAAATGGTGTCTTTTAGTTTAAGAGATATCAATGGTGACTTTATAAAAAATTGTGACTATTTGTAATAGTGTCTTTTAACCAAAAGGTGTTAATGGTAACTTTATGAAAAGATATAACTATTTGGATTAATATCTTAATCCAAACGTTATCAATTTTGAATTAGTAGCCTTTTATGTCATATTCACTTCATACCATTTTAATTGTTCTCAAAAATCACAAAGACTTTAATAACCTTTTCAATTACTCTTAAAAATCACAAAGCTTTTAATAATTTTTCATTTACTATTTAATAATATTTTTTTAAAAAAATAAATATACGATTATTTTCAACAGTGTTTTGAATATTTATTTACGAGGTAAGAGGTGATAAGTTAAGTCATTAATGGGGTGAATAATAAAGAAGTGGGTGTAGATTAGAATAAACTTAATTCACTAATTGGATGAATATAGAATAGGATAAGTTAAGTTATTAATGATCAGGTGAAAATAGATTAGATGAACTTAATAATTTGATAATTAAAGATTTAATAAGAATGGAGATAAAAATATGTAGCATGACAATAACGTCGTCCTAAAAAAAGTATAGTTGCTCGTAACATTGTCCATAGGGCTTATATTGATGATAGCTACTCTTATGATAATTTATAAATTTATAAATTTAGAATGATACATGTGGTAGACAATAATGTGTGCGATCACCACTGAGCGTGTAGATCAACTGATGAGGGGTTGTTCTAGTTTAACCAAGGTTTACGATTTGAGACTGGGGAATGTAGTTACGTTCAATAGGGAGAGCTTTGTTGTCCTTGTGGTCCTACCCAACTCGAATCCGAATTAGTCAGAGTTTGTTTTGATTTCTTAATACCAGATGGTCTGACAAAAAAAAAAAAAAATGTGTGCGATCTCGGTAGCTTGAACTCTATCTTATATTGGCCAGTAATTTGTTGGATTGGATGGTTCAAATTGGTGAGTCATTGCCAACAACAATGGTGGGTCTTTAATGTGACCCGTGATTATACCAGCCCTTGTGTCATCACCTTTCTTTCCAGATGTCAGAGTTACTGATTCAAAAAGCCAATGACTTCATAGGAGGAAGATTTTTTTTGGCACGCGTTTTATGAGGGAAAAATGGGTTTTAACAAGTTTTCGAGTATCGACGTTGCCAAATTATAATTTGCTTTTTGAGTATGTGATGAGAAGAAAAAACCCAATTTATAATTGAGCAGAAGAGATTTTGGGTCCATGACGGTTGCCTTAGTCTCATGGTAAAGATGCACTTATCCGTGTTAGTGTTCGAATTTTATCACAATTATTTCAAAATATCGAGAAAATTATCAGATAAATGCGTCTTCACACGCGCAAAAGGAAAGTCAAAAGAAATCACAATAAACTGACCCTAAAGTGGGAGTTGCCACTAAATCGTGAGATTATTCTTTAAGACATCTGTTACTTCATCTAACACACCTTCGAGTTAACGCTCCATGGTGAAACAAAGAAGAAGTAAACTAGTCGCTCTATGTGGTTTTTCCGTCGGCTGACCTTTCAATAACTTGGATGGTAAGTTGGGCTTAGTTCAATAGCTATTTCAAGGAACAAAATGGACCCATTATGCGAAGATAACGCATCATGTCTTACACTTGTCTTCCATATTATAAGCATTTCTTATTCACTTATTTTTTGTGAAAGGAGACG